AATGAGTTCTAAGAAGTTAATGACAACTGCTATGCTGGATGATTCATTGGCTGTTAGCAAAGAAGCCTTTCAGTCAATGCTTGGGAGGCTAAATGGGTTATGAAAGAAAACAATTCCAGTGGCTTTTAGATGACTCAGATGGCCTCAGAAACTCAAGTGCGGCAGTTGATGCTGTGGGTGGTCAGAGGATACACCGAAGGGGGAGGGCGGGACTCAGGAGAACACTCAGTAGCAAATTACTGCGGCAGCACGGGAAATAAGCGGTGAAGGCCCAGGTGAGCGGCGGCGGTAGCGAGGACAAGGAGGGAACCCACGTGCCACTCCCTGAGGCGACACAAAGGCTCAGCTCCAGCCACGGCAGTGGGTGACCCCCAGGCTAGAAAGTGGCCGGCCTTTAAAGACGAGTTTCGGAGCAAAGCGCCCTGACCTGTCCTTGCAGAGCAGCACCTTCCTTGGGAAGCGCTGGGCCGCGTGGGACAGGGGCTCTGACTAGCTGTTGCTCAAACGCTCTCACACGTCAGACGTGGACACTTCCAGGGCTGGATAATTCAATGACTCAGACAGGACCCAGGTGGCAAGAACGCGGGGCTCCTGCAATTCACACGCTGCTGCTGCTGCTGCTGCTGCTGCTGCTGCTGCTGCTGCTGCTGCTGCTGCTGCGAGTGGACCCCACCCCTTTGGACAACTGGGTGATCGGCACGACCAGCGCGCGCTGGACGGAGGCATACCGAGTGACCCAGCAGCTCCACACCGAGCTAAGCCCAGACATTCCTCACGGCACAAGAACACCCGTGGCAGGACTCTGTGTAACAGCCCAAATCCGGGAACTCCCCGCATGGCTGCCCATCAAGAAGGAAAAGCGATAAATGGTAACGTCGTCTCCCAGTGGAATTCTATTCATCAGTGAGCGTGAAGGACCTACAACGACACGGCCACGGGTGAATCTCAGACACATAATGTCGAACGAAAGACAGCAGACGCGGAAGAAGAGCACTGCGCGTTCAGAATCCAGCTCACCAGGCCGGGGCCGACCAGGCTCCACCCACCCAGGTGAGCTACAGGAGCAGACCTACCTCTGTGTTAGAGGTCGGGAGAATGTCTGCACTTGGGAGCAGGTAGTGCTTGGAAGCTGCTGGTTACCCAGGTGTGTTCAGTTTGTGCAACTTCGTGGAGCTGTGTGCTCCTCGTTTTCGACAGACATGAGACTCCAGAAGTTTAAAAATAAAGGGAAAGTGTCTGGTACCATCTGTTTTTCCTTTCTCCCTTCTTCAGGGGGTGGGCCTTGTTTTGGGGCTCCCGCCCTGGTGGCTGTGAAGCTGTGCCAATCTCTAGCTTGGCTCTGCTCTAACCAGTTGTGCTTCTCCGGGCAGGTTGCTTTACCTCCCGACCTGTTTTTCCATCAGCAACAGGTGGGGGCTGGACCAAATCCAAGGTGAGCACATCCTTGCCTGAGACTTTGCTGCTTTGAAGTCCGTGATAGGAGGGCCTTGAGCTGCTGCTGCTGGTGTTTTTGAGGTCGGTTTGTTTCCTTCTGTAAGCAGTTTCTAAAAGCAGCATTCTCATAGCAACTCTCCACTCCCTGAAAATAACCTCCCCCACCTCAACACACCACATGAGTACCAAGTAGGTGCTAGCAAGGGCCTCAAGAATCAAATGTTTTTTGCATAACGAATCCTTTCCTCAAACTTGTCCAGACATGAGCTGTCTGCGAATAACTGACGTGTTACTAACTGACTTCACTAGATAACAGACATCACAATGGATGATGCTGGGAAGTTTCACCACCTGAGGATCCTTACTCGGTGTTCCCAGCAGGTAAGGGACAGGTGTGCTCCTTCACTGTGAGTGTACTTTCTTAAAAGGAGGGTGTGTGTGTGTGTGTGTGTGTGCAGGCAGCTTGAGACAGTATTCCCCACAGACCTTGCCAATGAAGGGGCTGAGAAAACCTCCAGTGCCCCCGATTTCCCATGTCTGCGGAACCTGTTCTCCTAGAACTTTTTTTCGAGTATTGAGTGTCTCCCATGGACCATGTACAGTGTTGGCTCTCCAGAGATACAGACATGAGTAAAACACTGGCCTCAGCTTCGAGTGCTTACAGCCCAGGGGAAGGCATCAGGTGTATCCCCAAAGATGCCCATACACACCAAGGACTGAGTCTCAGAAGCCCGAGAAAACACCCACAGTCAGAAAGGTCAGGAAAGGCTTCATGGGCAAATGGCTTTTGAGAGATGAGGGATGTTTTTCCCAGGTGGAGCTGGGCGTGGGGTGGGGTGGGATTTCCAGAGGAAGACCCTATCACAACCATGAGTGCAGGGAAAGGCGTTGGCTTCTGAGAGTGAGTGAGCCCTTTAGGGCGGGGAAGGTGAGAAATGAGCAGAAAGCGGGCCTGGGAGGGTGGAAGGGCACCAGCAATGCCAAACAGAGGAGCTGCCGTTGAATTCGGTGGGCTGTGGACAAGCCACCGGTGCGGTCTGCACTGGGTCCCCTGCTGGGGACGTGTGTGTGCACACCACCCTTGGCTGGAGGGGACAGCCAGGTTCCTGCTCGGATCCCACCTCGGTGCACTTCAACACATCAGCTGCAGAAAAGGTACCCTGCGTGTGTGAGGCTCTCCACAGGTGGAAGTAATGACAAAGTCAGACTGTGTCTTTAAGAGCCCTGCAGTTTGGGGACAAGGAAAAAGAAGCAAAGGCGGGGGAGGCTAGACAAGGATACCTAGAACCACAAGACATCACATGAGTTGTGAGAGAAGCGCCATGGGAGTCTTGGCAAAGTGCTCAGGCCTTCCTAATGGGGGCTCCCCCTGACCTTCCATTCTCCTTGTCAGGACGAGGCTGTAAGCTTCTCGGGGCCAGGCCTTGCTAGTCTTGGTCCCACCGGGGACTAGCTCAGTGTCTGGCACTTGGTAGACAGTCACTGAAGGAAGGGTGGCAGGAAGGGAGAAACAAGTTCTCTCGCCTCAGGTACCATCTGCCGAGGGGACCTGTCTTTAAGCCCACCTAGCATGGCCTACCTTTCGTTCATACTGGCCCTTTCTCCTCTCACCCCAGTTTTGCCCATTCCTGTCCTTGATCCCTGGTAGTGCCAGCCCACACTGTCTTCCTAGACCCAATTCTTTCAGTGATTGCAGAGTCTGTGCCGCACAGTTTAAGCCCCTGTATTCCTTGCAGCTGTTTCCTGCGTGCTATCGTGTAAACTCTCTGAGGGCAGAGTCCCCTTCTTAAATGATTGCATCCTCCGGACTACAGAGACCACTGACTGGCTGGGAAGTAAGGCCCGTCGCAGGAGGAGGGGGCAGAAGCCGACATCCTGGAGTGTCAGGCGTTGTGCGGTGCGGTGTGTACATTCAGAAAGCCTGACACTATGGCCCAGTGAGGGGGGAACTGGAGGGCAGAACAGACCCTAAACTCATGGCTGAGGACAGAAGAGGGGGAAGTGTGTCTGTCTGCAGCATGAGGGGTGGCTGGAAGGATTTGGCTGATGTGAAATTTTGGAGGGGACTGCCTAGAGGAGCCATGGACCCTCCTCTCTGAATGTCCTTAAAGGGGATCACTAGCAAGCTCAGGCTCCAGGACGCGCTGCCTTCTCCCCAGCCTCGCTGTCTTTGTTTGAGTGACAGGAGAGCAAGAAGCAATCTTTGGGGTAAAGCGTCTCGGAGGAACTGTTGCTTTGCCCTTTTGCTTTATGATCTGAACGTCAAGCGAACGAGGTCACGCGAATTAGCTGACTGCAGGCAGGCCGACCTTCCTGCGCAGAGAAGGAAGGGAGACTCTCGTCACCACCGAGCTCGTCTTCCCGAGAAGTATGTATTCCGTGGTCAGAAATCGCCTCCCCAGACCTGTTCCGGCCTTCCTTCCAGGACAAGACTGATCTAACTTCTCCTGCACTTGGCTGAGCGCTCTTCTCACAGCAATTGTTTTCTGCAGAGGGGCTGCCCACCCACCAGACTATCTGGGGCTGGTGTCAAGCCTGGTTACTGCTGTAGGATCTCCCAGGAGTAAGTGCTCACATCTCCTGATTTAGTCATTCCACCCACCCTGGGAAGGAGGTTCCATGATTACCTCCCATTCTCCAGATGGGGAACTGATGCTCTGAGCGAGTAAGTGGCACCCCCAAAATCATACAGTTTGTAAGGAAGAGCACTTTCCTTGACACTACGCTGCCTAAATGAACTGCGTAGGCTCAACAAAGCGTCAGCTCGGTCTTTCCCATCATTCATCAGATCCCGTGGAGCAACGTGCAATTATAACATTTCAAGGGCAGGTACGTGAAGTCCAAGCTTCTCACAGAGTGAATAAATGCGTGGATGCATTGTACAGCGGATGCTCTGTATGGAGTCATTGGGAAAGAAACAACTTAAGGGCAATCAATCTTTCAGACCATTCACAGGGAGTCTACTCGGTGTGCTCCGGCATTGGAGACCCGGGACTGCCTTGCCCTCATGGGGCTTACTGTCCATTGCACGAGACACGTTAAACAACTAATATTACAGTAAACTAATCCCAGTTTAATTACATGCAACTAAATGTAGCAGAGAGCTATGCACTGGTCGGAGGAAAGAGCGATTGGGGCTCACTGGAGGAAGGTCAGCCCCTTTTGGGCAAGGGGATACATTGAGATCGGCAGAAGCAGAAGTCGAGTCAAATTAAAAGGGCAAAAGGAAGAGGCAATTGCTTTTCACAAATAGAACTTGACCAGAGAGGGCCCCCCAACTCCCCAGAACCGCTGCCTGCTTAGGGATCTCAGCAAAGAGAAAGCCAGAGAAGGGAGAGGTCGTTTCTGCGGGCAGGGCGGACGGCAGGGAGGAGGAGAGACTGCCGCTGGCACCGAGGGAGTTAAACGGGGCCGGCCAGGGACTGAAATGGTTAATGGGGGCGGGCCGCAGTGCAACCCATAGGCCCGCCCACTGGAGGGCGGGGGTGTGGCCTCGGAGAGTGAGCCCGCGGATTGGCCGCAGGGCAGGCGTTACGCTAGGACGGTACCAACAGTCGGGAGCCGCGGAGGCGGGGGTGGGTGTGGGCCAGCCGGCTCAGGCGCGGGGAGAGGTGGCCAGGGAATGGCCGGGCCGGGGGTAGGCGGGAGCCGCAGTGGCGGTGGCTGCGACGGCTGGGGGCGTTGAGCGCGGCGTGGGGCGGCCCCTCCCCGGAGGCGGTGGGGGTGGCCGGGCCGCACCGCACGGCCGGGCGGCTATGGAGCGAGCCTAGGGCCCCGCAGGTGAGCGTGAGCGGCGTGGGGGCGGCGGAGGTTGCGCGACCCCCGCCCCCAGCGCAGCGGGCGGGAAAGTGCGGGTGGCTCTCAGTGTGTGCGGAGGATTGGGGGCCGCCGGGGGACGGGAAGCCTCCCCGAGAGGCCGGGCGCCGGTGCCCCGAGCTGTCCGCGGGCAGGTCCCAGAGGGAGAGCTGCTCGGGCCGCGTGCCCCATCAGCTCCAAGGCGGGCTCCTGCGGGTGGCCGCGGCTGAAGGGATGTGGCGTGCCCTCGGCTCCCCTGAGGCACGGGCCTTACCTGAGGACACCTCGGCCGCTCAGGGTCGCCTTAGTGACCAAACCTGGCGCCTGGACGCGGTCCCGTGAGGCAGCTGGCACTGCTGCCGCCCTTGTGTCTTGCCGGTGCCGGTTGCGGCGGCCCGGGAAGGATCGCGCGCCCCGCGGGCCCATCTCGCGGCGGGGAAGCACGGATGACCTGCAGGCCCCTAGCCAGGGGCAGGGTAACCGTGACCCCTGTGTGCAGGGGTCGGTGGTGTCCTCAGGGTCTGCACCCCGCGCTCGCCATCGGGGCGCGACTTGAGGAAATGATACCGTAGTCCAAAGTGGGTTGCGCTTGAGAGTTCATTTCCGGGTGTGATGGCCCAGCGATTAAGAAAGAACCTAAACGTTGCCATTAATGATGAATGCAAACAGTTGGCCAGCTGTGTCCTTGACTGTGGGAGCTGATGAGAGTTTCATTCTCACCGGGCTTCTGGTACCTGCAAGCCTCTCGGGAGGAAGAGAAGGGTAGAATGGAAGGAAGTTGGAGGGAAAGCGGAGGGGACTGGTCATGATTGGTCGTTGCGGAATTCTGAGTCCTTTAATTGACCACGTTATCGTTGGGACGGCTGAGTTTATAATTTGGGAAAATGAGAGATGCTTGATACTCCGACTTGAGTGTAGGGCCGGGGTATCAGTATCAACTCCCCCCAGCCGGTTTCTCTCCCGCGGTTTGATTTCTCTCCTTGGAAAGAAAGGAGGGATTGTGGGATCTTTTAGCTTCTCACTTGTAGGACTTTATAAACATGTAATCTGGTCGTTAAGATCGCTGTTTACGAATGATTCCTACCCTTCTTGTGTTGTAAATTCATGCATTTCGACGGAGTTGATACGTTTTAATTGGGCTCAAGACCTCCGTGTGCTGGTGTAGTACGAACAGTCCTTGAGTTTATGCAGGACCTTTGAGCCAAGCCACGAGCTCTTCACATGCAGGGTGGGGCAGAGCAGGTTCACCATAATTAATAAGTAAGACGAGAGTAGACCGTGTTTTACCTACTCACAACTGGAGACCTACTTTTGCCCCACCCTGTATCTTGCTATTTATCTTCAAGACGAGTCTTTCAGAAACTGAGGTACAGGTGTAAAGATGCCGGATGGCTTGCCTAGACTCAGAGCCAATCTAAGGTAGATTTAAAATTAAGACAATGTTTTGTTTTAAATTCATAAGTTTTCTGAAGTTTGTAAAGGTGCTGGGCTTTGGCCCCTAGAGCCGGACAGTGGACTCAGTCCACAGGCGGCTGTTCCACATTTGAGAGTGCTTGTCAGAGAATCAAAGCACGGGAGAAGTAATTCAGACTCTCAGCCTCGCAGTACAGTGCAGCGCCGGAAGCGGGCGGAGGTGAAAGACCAGGGAGAGGTCCTGGAGCTCGGAGCCCCCCACCAGTGCGCCCGTGCGCCTGTGCGGCTGGGGGAGATGGGACGCTCGTAAGCACCCTCACTGTGTACTGTGTCTGTCGTCTAACCCTTTGTGTCATAGCGTTATTTTACGCCGAATTGATAACTCCTTGACTTTTAGTCTGTTCCCTTGATTTCCCTTTGTAGACTCCAGCCCTTTCACACAGCCCTAAAACTTCTGCTTTTGATCTTTTCTGAATGTTGAATTTCTAAATTACATTTTCTGTAACTTGCAGGGCTGCCTTCCAATTCCCACACTTTGCGTGACCCTCATTTCAGCTGATAAACCCTGAAGCCAGATGCCCCAGCTCTTGAGTAGACAGACCTTTTAGAGAGAGTGTGAGGGGGAAGTGATGACTTGTTGTTCCCCTTATCTATGCATTCGTCGGTTGGTTCTTACGTGTGCCCTGACGGGGATCAAACCCACAACCTTGACCGTGGGGACCACCCTCTAACCAACTGAGCCACCTGGCCAGGGCCTTGAACTGGTAACTCTTTAAGTAGTGACCACTGCGGTTGTCCCTTGGTCATTGCTGTGATCCCATAGAGAACCAGGAGGCCACTTTGTTTTCTGTGGCCACAGTGGCAAACAACACAAAGGAGACAGTCTTGTGCAGCTGGTGTGGGTCGCTCCGGGACCAAGTGCCCTGTGGTTTTGTAGAGGGGGCGGGAAGTGCGGTTGCAGTGAGACCCTACGGTTTGTTGTGTCAGTGATGATAATGGAGGTGCTCTTCTCTCTGTACCTGACAGCGCATACGCCGAAGTAGATATGCAGGGGGCGTTTGACGGCTGGAGGGATGAATGGAGAACAGTATGAAGGAAGGGGACATGTTCTAATGCACATACTGAATTGATTTATTCCTCTTTTGTGTAAGAAATGATGCCAAGAAAATGTGTTTCAGATTCCCGTTGAAAATATGCTGCGGGGGGTGGGGGGTATCTGGAAAGGGTGTTACTTGCCGGAGCTGCCTTGAGTCAGATTGTGGGGGTGCGTGACGATCTAGACGCCTGCAGCGGGGGAGCGGCCTGGGGCGCTCTGGTCAGGTGCGGCTTCACCGACTCGCCCGCAGCCTTCTCTGCCGGGGCTAACTCAGCAGTCGGATGGGCAGTCAGCCTTCTTGCGTCAATAGAAGAACCGTAGCTCTTGGTAACGGCCGCACCAGTAACATTGACCCTGACTGTCCATCTTCCTGTCCCTTATATTGGGGGTGGGAGTGGAGAGTTATTCCTCCCTGAAGCGCTTCTCCAGCAGCTCCTCATTCCACACTTCTCTCTCTTTGCCTTCCTTGAACTGCCTCTGTGACCCCCAAGGACTGAGGAGTTCATTAGCACAGACCTGGGGTGCAGAACAGAAGACCTTCCTTTGCAGCTGAAACTAGCCTCTGAGCCACACAGTGCCAACGTGACTGCTAGGGCTGTCTAGGAGAGGCTCTGGTGCAAAGGTATAATGTAGCTGCATCTTTCTTACCCACACGCGAGAGAGGAAGGGCCTGGCTTGGGGTATGGTGAGCCTCGGTGGTGGGTGGGGGGGCAGCTGTCATCCCAGCATAAGAAATGGAGGCGGATGTGGAAAAGGGGTACTCAGCAAGTGTGTTTGGGGTCTGTACTTTCTGGCAAGGTAAACAACCTGTTCATTTGGGCGTGTTATATGGAAGGAGGTCAAGGAACGTGAAGTGCGGAATGTGTGACAGAAGTAAGTGCAGGCGAGGCAGCGACCTCTGTCACTCCATGCTCCCAGGTGCTGGCCTTCTGCCTCGTGGATGTGAAGAGCAGCGTTTCATTTTGTCTGCGAGTGTTAGGGGATGAGGCATTACGTGCAGAAATTCTTATTTTAACTGTACCTTTTGTGGAAAAAAATTTACAGTGTATTATATGCTGTGTTTGCTTTTTAGACAGTGTGGTTTCACCTTTGTTCTGTTGACTCAAGGTCATTGCTAGCATCCGTTACCAACAGTAATGGAGTGGGGCTTTGAGGCCATTGAAATATGTAGGTTGTTTGCCCCATCTGCTTACTGAGTTCTTGAATCTGCTCTTAACAGTCCATCTGTCTCTTCGTTCTGGGGTGGGACAGCTGTGCTTTTGCTGTTGTTCAGTCCCTGCTGCCCTCGTTCTAACTTGCAGCTTCTGACCCTCTGGAGCGGCGAGGCGGAGAGCCCTGCTTCCTGGAACTGAACGCAAAACAGCTACGCAGGCTTAGCGGGGTCTGCAGCCTCTTCTCTGTTCCTGGGTGAACTTGGTAACCACTGTTTCGGCTGCCCAGAGACCTTTTGCTTGTTTCTTGTCTGTGGCTTAGCTAGTGAACTTGCGCTATGTGTAGGTGCATTTATGTTCCCGTAGTGCTCTCTGGTTCTCGCTTCAGAAAGCATCGCCAGTACTGCTCGAAACTCTGGGTCCAGCCCCGTCTGTGTCGCTCCTGGGCAGTGTCTTGGGCCATCCCCAGTCTTCTGTGAGCGCTTCCGGGTCATCCCGACTACCAGTCCCAGACGGTGCCAGGGGCCAGGCTGACAACGGCATTGCCTTGAGAGCTGAAAGAACAGTGTACAGAAGGCAGCGATTTAAAGTTGAGTGCATAAAATTTGTATACATAATTGCTATTTCTGCATTTCTTTACTATACGGTATGTCTGGATTCATTTCAGGGCTTAGTTCCCCCACGTCCATTAAAAGTGGCTATGTGTGCACCAAAGAGCTGAAGAAATTCTTGTAACCCTGAAGGTCTCTCCTCCTTGCTCTTCACTCCTATTATTCCACAAGCATTTTGGGGGGACCTCTCATGTACCCCTGCACTGTGCTAGCTTACCTGGAAGTACAAAGAGCAAACATGTCCCCTGTCCTGAAGGAACTCACAATAATAGAGGAGACAGGCACACTCAGAAAGGGTGAGTGTGTGTGTGTGTGTGTGTGTGTGTAGTCAAGGGATCGTGGCTGGAGCCACTCAGCCAAAAGTCAGCACAGGCCTGCTGGAGGTTCCTTAGCCCCCCAGGACATAAGGTTCAACAATGTGAAATGTGACTGTTGCGTGAGGTGTATATACCTTTGCAAGAACTGCAGTGAACTGAATAGTACAGGCGGAAAACATGAAAATCTGGGGGAAGATGTTGTGTCACTTGAAACTCGGTATTCCGCATTCTATAGGGGGTGCATTCTTCAGCACAGCCTTAGATGGCTGCACACGGACAGCAGAGCAGTGAGAGGCTCGGAACCTGGGGAGGCTCACCATTCCTGGCCCGTCTGAAAGGGAATGCACGTGCCTAGGCGTCTCCAGAGTTTCTAGATCCGGGAGCACTCCCTGTGTTG